CTGTGTCTCCCTCTCTCTGACCCTCCCCCATTCACGCTTTTTCTCTATCTCAAAAATAAATAAAAATTAAAAAAAAAATTTTTTTTTTAAAACAATTATCCTCATACAAAGAAGCTTTAATCTAAAATCAGGGCCTCATTCCAACTCAAATATAAGAACCTTCACTTAACTACACTTTATTTGTGAACTCATCTTTTGCGACTCCGACCATACCCCCTACGACAAACAAAGGGGAAATTAAAAATAATTTTTCTATTAGAAGTTTGGTAAACAAAGTGGCAAAGCTTCCAGAAATAGCTTCCCTGAATTCTTGACCTGGATCCCCAAGAATACCCAGGACTGACACCGAAGGAAAAGGGATGTGGTCACAGGAGAAAGCTCACCACCTTCTATCACATGGTTGAAGGAATCTGTGACTTTTCCCCCAAATTTTTCAGAAACTGCCCTACCTCTTCAAGCCTGGATAGGAAGAAGTGTTTAAAATGATGGAACATAAGACAAACCAAGGAAACACGCGATTGCTTTCCCGACACTGGCCTTCTCGACGCTGGCCCGGGAGCCATGAACGAATGGCCACCATGGGTGACACAGGGTCCCAAGGTTACCCACACAAGAGTTAGGGTATGCCGGGGGCCAAGATTCCACGTTAAATCTCAGTTATGCATGAATCTCACCTCTGCTGAACACCCAGCTCCCCACACACGCCACTTAATATTGTCATGTTTAAAGTCTTCCGTTCAGGGAGCCGCAGAGAGAGAGAGAGAGAGAGAGAGAGAAGTCCTGAGGAGGGACAACCCACCCAACGTCAGAAACGAGGAAGGACCAACAGGCTGGGATTGTGCAGAGTAAATATTTAAACACGGAACGTTCGATAGCTGTTATATAGGTTCAGGAACAGGCTCATTTTTAAAAATCAATACTCTTACTAATAGCGATGGACTAGCCTTCAATAGAAGAGGGGAAAAGAGTGGTGATCATTTTTGAATCAGAAGTCCGGAGGAACCCGTGTCCCCGCCAAGTCCCTCAAGCTGTACAAGAAAAATGTGTCTTAGGACCTCCCTCCGGGAAACTGGGTCATCATGGACCCCCAGAGCTGATGGGGACCACAGATGTGACTGGGGCAGGGTGGAGGGGAGACGACGGTTAGAGAAGCAAGTAAGGCGAGGGGGAGAGGAAGTCCTCGACCGTTCTCCAGGATTACTTAAACAATCAAGGAGTTGGCTTTTTAACCTGCAGGTGGGAGCTGTGTGACCTTGAACAAGGAAGTGAACCTCTCTGAATGGCAGATGTCATAAGCCCTCCCCACCTTTCCTTCGCCTTTGCCATCTCAAGCAGTCAGATTTCTACCCCTCAGCGCCCAGACTCAGCCTGAGGGCTCTGTCGGGACTCAGACACAAACTGGCCTGAATTATGGGCCCCCCACAGTGGCCCTAACCATTGACTGAGGGGTGGCCCCTTATCCGTGGTGTGGTCTCCAGGCTGCCTCTCAGAGCCCTGGGTGGGATGAAACCCCTGTGGTCCCCAGAGGCGACCAGCTTTCTTGCCTACTCTTCTGTCTTCCCCGCTCCCCAGCCAGCGCTCGAGATCCCCTCCCAAATAAACCCCTTGCACCCGAAATCTGGTCTCCGGTCAGAGCATTAGTTCTGGGGGCCCCCCAGACGACTTGAAGTACCTGCCTCTATATACGTAAAACGAAGGGGAAAAAGTAACACCTTCGTCGGACGGTCACTGTCTGGATCCAGTGAGGTGATGCTAAGAAGTATTTGCATAGTGCCCGGCACCCAATAATTGCCAGCCGTGGTTATTCTTAACTCCATAAAATAAGCAATCTGCCACCTACCCCAAAGATGGTTGAGTTACCAATGATTTTTATTTTCTTCTTTCTCTTTTTGAAAATGAGTGGTGCTCGAAGACGGCAGGGCGTCCAGGAACCCAGGGTCCAAATGGCAGCTGGGTCCACTGTTAGCAAGAGGCTGGCCGCACGGCTCCGTGCCTCAGTTTCCTCGCGGGAGACGGGGCGGAAAAGCATTTCTTTCAAAACCCTCTTAGGTTTGGGGGACGTTCCGGTGAGAAAAATGCATGTAAAGTGGTCAGCACGCTCACTGGTTGGCAAGTGATGCCACAGAAGTAAACATAAGCCGTCGTCACGAAAAGGGGATTAATAAAAATAACAGACGGATACTATGTGTATCCGGTGCAGATACAGAACGCCTCCAGGATCGGGATTAAAATTTGTTAAACAAGCATCCCACCAAGAATTAGGCCAATGAAGCTCTCAGGAGGCTGTTTCGTAAAATCCTTTCTGCCTCTGCTGCAGAAAGAGGTCTGAAATGGGTTATCACGGTAGGAACGACAGCGACACTTATTAGGAAGGGGCAAGAGGAATCAGCTGGAAGTAAATACTTTCAAAATGATTTACTTAAAGAAAAATATAGGGCAGATGTCAAGTGGGAATGTTGGCTTAAATACAGCAGTCGGGGGATGAAGGGAAGAGCATTTGATCACGTGGTTTTACCTGCGATGGAAAACCGAGTGAAGGGAAATGAGACTCAAAGTTCAGAGAGGTGCCTAGTAGAGAGAGAACTTCGAAGAACTAAATCAAGAAAATGATGGCAATGGTCGCAGACTCTAATTGGTGGAATATTCTAGAATCGGCTGTTTTACCTTGAGACAGCAACTTACCCGTTCTCCTGTGAATTCAGGCGTTTATTCACTGCTCGGATGTCTCGTATCTACACCCCAAATAGAACAATGACACAGTCCCAGTCCCTTAAACACTGTGCTCTGTGTCTTTAGGCCCTTGGCATATATTTGACACCAGTAATATTCTACCCCCTCTCCATTGCCCCTAACTTACTCCCTGCAGATATTGATAATTGAGTGCTAGACTATTTCTACAGTTCTTGGATGAACCCTCTGAGTCTTTCCTGACACAACATGCCATGTAGCCACTATCAACCGATTGGATGGCCGGCGAGCCAGTTGCACAACTGGACTAGGTGAGACTAGTTGACTGCAAGCAACAGAAGCTGAGTCTGGGTAACATAAGCCAACGAAGGTTCCACTGAAAGAATATGGGAGAGAAACCAGTTTGACAATAAACTTCATATATTGAAAGAAAAAAAAAAAAAGAAAGAATATGGGAGAATGTAAGAGGACTGAAGGGAATGTTCAGGAACCAGGAATTTCCTGGGGGCCTTGACAGCAGGTACCTACTAGGTCAACAGCTTTGTCTAGACACCCCCGCTGAAATTAACGTGTCCTAAGTATATTTTTCTCCCAGTCCTTGAGCCCTGCCTCCCAAGATTGAAACTCCCCAGAGAGTGACTACTGGGGTAGCATCAACCGTGCACCAGAACCACACAGAATGATGAGTGAGCGGCCACACGCGTAAGGGAGGGGCTCTTTTCCGGGGAAAAGAACTCTGGGAAGTCCAAAACAACACCACCGGCACCAATTGCCAACCCTCCACTGCACCAGATCTCAACCACCCAATTAGCTGGGCCCAGTAGTTACGGCGGGGCCGCGGGCTGCTGAATGGGTTAACGGGTTGGACAGCAAGTGTTCACTAAAACAGTTCTGCTGACGATTATAAATCAAGCATGGGTGTCTGCACCTGGGGAACTAACTCATCAACCAGAGAAAGAGCTGGCAACCTCCAGGATGGGCCTCTGAAAGCCTCTGATGAAATCAGCCCGTTGATTAACGCAATTAGCACCATTAGGAAAGGAAGTTGTTAACCTAAATCAATTATCCACAGACATCTGTCACGCTAAGTGTTCCTCTTTGTCTTGAGTATATTGCACTGTTGGTGTTTCAGTGGTGATGGCCATTAAAAATAAATGATTATTGTTGATTTTCTATTGATATAGCTATTAATGTATCGGTGCCTGTGTGTATAGGCCGCTTACGTGTAGTGTACAGAAAATAGATGTACTAACAATAGGAAGTAAGTATTGACTCTCATTTCTCAATTCAGGAGGTAAATATTGACCAACAAAGAGCGCTGCTAGCTTGCGATGAGCTAAAAGGTAAAACGTTCGTATCAGCTCGATTTTTCTTTAACTACTTGTATCACCTACTTCCTGCAGCACAGAGGTTCCAACGCATGGATGAGGTTCCTCACTCACGGTCCTGAGGCACTTCGTGCCAGTTAGGTTCCACCCGTATGGAGACTCTTACTCCTCTTGTCTGTTCTGAGCGTTTCCACCACTTTAGCCAATGTACGTCTTCTGTATCAATTTCCATGCTCGTTAGTCCAGCCGCACAGGCAAAGAACAATCGTCCATGATAATGACCGTCGACGTTTATTGAATTCCTTCTACCACCCAGTCCTTTGATCGGTAATGGTGATCTCCATCTTGTAGAGTGATAATAAAGATAACAACGGCTTATGTGCCAGGTACCCTTTAAAGCACTGTCCGAGCAGGAATTAAGTCAAACTCCCAACTGGCTCTGGAGGTAACATCACCGTGGTCATTCTACTGATGGGGAAACTGAAGCCCAGAAAAGCTAAGTCCTAATACTCAGCTGGTAAAGAGTAGCATAAGCCAATTCTTTGAGTGTAGTTTTTTTCCCTGCTTGCCCATGCTTCTCCGAACGTACTTCAAGATTTGTAGGAGATATCCAGTTTCAAGAATACACTTTTGGGGCGCCTGGGTGGCTCAGTCGGTTAAGCCTCCGACTGTGGCTCGGGTCAGGGTCTCACGGTTGGTGAGTTTGAGCCCCCACATCAGGTTCCCGGCTGTCAGGCTACAACCCGCTTCAGATCCTCTGTTCCCTTCTCCCTCTGTCCTTCCCTGGCTCACGCTCTCTCTCCCTCTCTCAAAAATAAATGAACGCTAACAACAACAACAACAAAAAACCACTCTTGCTATCATGGACATGTGCCCTGGCGTGCTGCACACACACGTCTATGGGTGCGTGCGTGTGCATGCACGTGTCCCCACCCCACCCCCAGGGAAAGAAACTGAAATTTACCCGGGCCAGGCAACTTTCTAAAAACGATACGGCCAAGAAGCCAAGCAAGAAAGTCAAACCAGTCTCTGTTGGAAAAGCGCAATCTCCTAAGAGAAACGGAGAGTTCTTAAGCGTTTCGGTTTTGGAAAGGACCCTCAGATTTCTCCATCGCAGCAGAGCCTGGAATTAGCCCTGGAGGAACAGAGATGATACATAATGCGATATGCTCCCATTGGGGCCTGGAATCTGATTGCAACATCCAGAAATATCTGCGTGATCGATTGGAGTGACTGGATTCAACAGAGCAAGTAAGTCTAGGCAGGGGAGGGAAGGAGGGTTGCCAGGGGCGACCCGGGAGCATTAATATGAAAAAAAAAAATCACAAGACTGGAGAGAAGGGCCAATTGTTCCGAGAGCCCTGGCTGACCGTGCCCTTGAAGGTCAGACTTGCACAGAGTCCTCAAAAGGAGGTTTAAACACGGCAAACCAGAAAGGCAAGCTGGGCTTTACCTTGGGAGCTGAATTGTCAGGAACTTGTTTCAAAAGGTCTTAGCCTCTGCCAAGACGGCACTTCACCAGGTTAATTAAAACTGGGTGTCAGCGATGCTTCGAAATTGCCAGCAAAGGTGTCAGCTTCAGGGCACGCCTGGGAACCCTCACGGGTTTTGATCTTGGGGGCGGGGGAGATTGTTTGAGGGCCCCCAGGAACCTCCTGGTAAAACAAACAGAAGAAGAGGGGAGGGAAGCGTTGAGACAAGGACTCAGGAAAGACCGATTCCTTCAGTTCATTTAGAATTACTCTCCGGGACGCCTGGGTGGCTCCGTTGGTTGAGCGCCCAACTCTTGATTTCGGCTCAGGCCATGAACACAGGTCACGGGATCGAGCCCTGGGTCGGGTTCTGCGCTAAGCATGGGTCCTGCTTGAGTTTCTCTTTCTCTCCCTCTCCCCTGCTCTCTCTCTCTCTCTCTCTCTCTCTCTCTCTCTCTCTCGCAACAACAGCAAACAATGACTCTCCAAGGTTCCCAGGGAGACTAAATTTCAAAAGTAAAATTTCCATCTTGCATTTAAAGACATTTTAAGTTTATTTTGGAGAGAGACAGAGAGAGGGCACAAGCAGGGGAGGGGCAGAGAGAGGGGACAGAGGCTCTGAAGTGGGCTCGGTGGTGACAGCAGAGAGCCCGACGTGGGGCTCGAACTCACAAACCACGAGATCACAGCCTGAGCTGAAGTCTGATACTTAATGGGCTGAGCCACCCAGGTGCCTCTCCGTCCCATTTTCGATCACGGGTCCTATGAAAAGGTCTTTAAAGTCAATTACTATGCTGCTTGGGGAGAACCCCAGATTACTGTGCTGTGCAAAGTTCATGACTTAGTAGCTGAGTAGGCAGCTGGATGATGTGGCGGGCAGAAAAACACTTGCCAGGATGTGCACTCCCTGACTCTTGGCACCCGAGGGACCTGTGAATACGTGACCTTTTGTGGCAGGGGAGACTGTGCAGGTGTGATTGAAGATTTTGAGATGGGGAGATTATTCTGGATGTTCCAGATGGGGCCTAAGTATAATCAATCGGGACCTTAGAAGAGATACACAGGAGGGTCAGAATAAGAAGGAGATGGGGAGGGGGCGCCTGGGTGGCTCAGTCGGTTAAGCGGCCGACTTCAGCTCAGGTCACGATCTCACACTCCGTGAGTTCGAGCCCCGCGTCGGGCTCTGGGCTGACGGCTCAGAGCCTGGAGCCTGCTTCAGATTCTGTGTCTCCCTCTCTCTCTGACCCTCCCCCATTCATGCTCTGTCTCCCTCTGTCTCAAAAATAAATAAACGTTAAAAAAAAAAAATTTAAGAAGGAGATGGGGAGGATAGTCAGCAGGGGTCAGAGTGGCTCAGGGCCACAAGCTGAGGTTTTCAGGTGGCCTCCAGAAACCGGAGGCGACAAAGAACACACAGTTGGCCCCCTGAGCTTCCAGAAGGGGCCCGGCGCTCCTGATATCTTGATTTGAGCCCCAGAGGACCTGTTTTAGACTTCTGACCTCTTAAGACCATAAGTGAGTAAATCTGGGTTATGTGCCGTTGCCCTGTTCGCGATTCTTTGCGATACCGGCGAAAAGAGCTAACGCGGACGGTCAGCTCATACTTTGCTTTACTCTAGGAAGGTCTCGGGGCTTCCGATGATGCATAAAAGGCAACAAAAATAACCAGGGGTAAAAGCGGTCCAGGAGACTGTCTTCTGAAGACAAAGACCAGGGGGATGGAGAGCAACACTGGAGTTAGGGGCTGGAGCCACCTAACCTAGTCTGGGCACAGCGAGAAGAAGCTGTTCCCAGCGGCACCAGATTAGGTTGAAGAAGGGAGAACCAAGCAGACATCGGGAGTATGTGTGTGGGAGGGGGCCTGGAAGCTGAAGGTATCATGGGAAAGAGTACAGAATAAATACAGGTGCCTGGGGGCAAGGGGGACCCCCGGAGCTGTGAGAAGTCATGTAGATCACCCCCAAGATGCCAGGGAAGGGGGTGGGGTGGAGCTGAAGGCCTGGGAGGTAGGGAGGGTCAGATCCTGTCTAAAGAGTTCTTACTTCTTTTTTTTTTTTTTTTAATGTGTATTTATTATTGGGAGACAGAGAGAGACAGAGCGTGAGCAGGGGAGGGGCAGAGAGAGAGAGAGAGAGAGAGACACAGAATCCGAAGCGGGCTCCGGGCTCGGAGCCGTCGGCCCGGAGCCCGACGCGAGGCTCGAACCCACAGACCGCGAGATCGTGACCTGAGCCGAAGTCAGAGGCTCAACCGGCTGAGCCACCCAGGCGCCCCAAGAGTTCTTACTTCCAACCGTCCTCCCTCCAGCGGAGAACCACAGCAGTGATGAGCCACAAGGCTGCCCAAACACCCCTTTCACAGCACGAGAAAATCATTCCAGGCAAGGACTCGGGTATACAAACTGACTGTTGCTTCTTGAGTGCTGGCTCACTCCCCCATCATTTCCCCCATTCTAGAAAGGAAGGAGTCCTTCGGCAGGGTCACACAGCAACAAAGGGGCCCAGTGGGAGCTGAGCCGGGTCTGTCTCCCCAAGTCGGTGCTCTGTCAACCCGTTTCAAGCTTAGGGTTTAAAGAACAGGCGAGGTTGACTTCCTTCTTTCTCCCTACCCTTGAAAAGGCGATCATGGATAAGACATCTCCCCCCCCCCCCCACCAACTTTCATCCATGCATCCACTTATTCAGCAAATACGTATTTAGAGCTTATTGTGTGGCTACGCTAAAGAACCAGGCAATTTCCTTGGCTTCTCGGAGCTTAGATTTGAGGGGAAGAAACGCAGGTAACACACAAACAGAGATGAGTCGGGTGGTGATAAATGCTACGTAATCCGTAAATATGGGCAAGGGGTGAACACCCACCATAGCGGAGCGGGGGTCAGGGAGCAGGCTGGCTTCGGGGTGGAAAGCCGAGACAGGTGCGACAGAAACAGCTGTGCGTTAGCCCTTGAGGGGTGGGCTCGCAGGGGGTTATTTTTATCAGTGGGCCTTCACAATTTATACATATGCTCATAATGTGTACATAGGCTCTTTGGATGTGTCGAATATTAGCTGGAAAACATTCTTAGAGGGTTAGGGAATGCTATTTTATGGTGGGGGGCAGGAAAAGCCTCCACGCTGATTCAGTGGCAGGGCGAGGATGTGAAAGTGGTAAGAGTGCACACGGTACCTCTGGGGAGGGCATCCGGGGAGCAGAAGCAGCAGGTGGAAAGGCCCTAAGTGCTCGGAGTATTCGCACAATCTACGGAAGGAGCGTGGAACGCAGAGCTACCCAGAGCCCCTTCCTCATCGGATGTTTTACATATTTTGTATTTTATATTATTATGTATAATCTTATATTGTTTGTATTATTATTTTATATTATTCTCTCACTTACCCAAGGCCTTCAAAGGGGATAAGAGAAAGCCGTGCATGCATGCATTCGTTTGTTCGCTACGCATTTATCGAGCACCTGCCGTGCGCTTATAACGAGTGGGGGATGGGGAGGGAGAGAGGAAGGCACAGAGTCTGAAACAGGCTCCAGGCTCTGGCAGCTCAGAGCCCGACGCGGGGCTCGAACTCGTGAACCGTGAGATCGTGACCTGAGCCGAGGCTGGACGCTTAACTGACTGAGCCACCACGCACCCCAAAATGAACCTATCTAGTTCCAAGACATGCATGTCCTTACCCCAAAAGAAAACCCTGTGTCCATTAAGCGCGCATTCCCCACGTCTCCCTCCCCTTCACCCCAGGCCTCGGTAACTACCCATCTGCTTTCTGTCCCTAAGGGCTTAGCTATTGCAGACATTTCATAAAAACGGAATCATACCATAAGTGACCTTTTGTACCTAGTGTATATCCCTGGCATGATGTTTTCCGGGTTCGTCCATGTTGTAACATGGGTTAGAATACCGTTCCTTTTTAGGGGTGCGTGATATCCCATTGTGGGGACCTGCAGCATCTTATTTACGTTTGAGCAGATCTTGAGTGCACAGAGTCGGTAAGCGCCTGGAGCTTTCTGGATCTCTGCTGGCTGCAAAACGTATCAGTGCCTGGTTCCTTACAGGGCGGGGAAGCCACCCGCCAGAAACCTCAAAGTCGTCACCTCTGATTGTTGAGCCATGAGCTCACTTGCTGACCTGGGAGGGTTTTCTCAGCCGGGGACTGGCCCGTCTGTCATGTTAGCTGTTAGCTAACATGTTAGCCCCGCGTCGGGCTCTGAGCTGTCAGAGCCTGGAGCCTGTTTCAGACTCTGTGCCTTCCTCTCTCCCTCCCCATCCCCCACTCGTTGTCCGTCTCTCTCTCGGCTTCAAAAATACATAAAACATTTCAAAAAATGGTTCACTTTGAGGTGCCTGGGTGGCTCGGTCAGTTAAGCGCCTGACTCTTGGTTTCAGCTCAGGTCACGATCTCACAGTTTCGTGAGTTCGAGCTCCGCGTCAGGCTCTGCGGGGACTGGGAGTCTCTCTCTCCCTCTCTTTCTGCCCTTCCCCTGCTCGTGCTCTGTCTCTAAATTAATTAATTAATTAATTAATAAAACTTAAAAACATATTTAAATTTTTTTTTTTAATAAAATGGTTCATTTTATGGCATGTGAATTCACCTCCATTAAAAAAATGGCCAGGTTTGGGGCGCCTGGGCGGTTCAGTCACTTAAGTGTCCGACTTTGGCTCAGGTCATGATCTCACAGTTCGTGGGTTCGAGCCCCGCATCGGGCTCTGTGCTGACAGCTCGGAGTCTGGAGCCCACTTCCAATTCTGTGTGTGTGTGTGTCTCTCTCTCTCTCTCTGACCCTCCCCTGCTCATGCTCTGTCTCTCTCTCTCAAAAATGAATAAACATTAAAAAAAGTTTTAAAGATGGTCAGCTTGTTTGGCTGCTGTGACTGCCGCACTTTGTCATTAAGTACTATGGACTCCCAGTGGCCAATGCCAGGTGACCATTAGGTACAGCCCTGTTTGTTAGATGCGACTTTTTTTTTTTTTACCAGTCGGGTCCCCACCGTCTCCTATCGGCTGACCTACACAACTGCCGATCCGGAGTCTCCGAGGAACCAAAGTGTCCCGGTCCCTCTCTCCTACACCCTTCTAGAGCACCCCCCATGCTTGAAGGAAACACTTCACTTGGATTTGCTTCTGAGCGAAACGCAGGCAGGAGCCAGGGGGATACCGAAAGCTCTGCGAAGCAAATGACGAATGTTGGGGTCCCTCGCCAAACCTACATCAGAGTCCTTTCAACTCTGAACCTGGTAAAAGGATTAGCCCTCTGCCGTCCACAAGGGCGCGTGAAAGCCGGTCTGTCTGTTAAAAGACTCTTGCGTGCACACCCCAGTCCGGGCATCAAACCCTCCCTGCCCTTTGATAAAGCCAGACCTCCTTCTATGGATGTGCGGCCAGGGAATAACGAACACCTGCTAAGAGAATAAGAGACGCTGGGGGCGGGGGCGGGCAGCGAGGCTAGACAGGACCACTTTCCATTGTACATCATCCGTACGGCTGGTAGAGAATGAATTATTTCTTCCCAATTCGGCGCCATCATCCATCACCGTCAATTTGCGGCCCATCTGGAAGGTTTCAGAAGCCCCGGAATGGGCTCAAGAGTTATAAAACAGCCACGGCGGCAAGCCTTTCTAAACGGATTACAGTAAATACAAACACGAAGAAACAGGGTGCGTGTTTCGGGGCGTTTACGCTGTTCCACGTCCCGGGCTCGAGCTCCCTCATTTCATCCCCTCAACGAACCTACGAGGCGGGAACAAGAACCGTTCCCATTGTGCAGATGAGAAAACCGAGGCCCACGGAGGTCCACGCCGTTCTCTGGTCACCCAGGTAGGAGGTGGCACAGCTGGGGCACGGGGCTGGGTGGTACGGACCCGGGACACTGTGTCCTGCTCATGATGTGAAAGCGATGGGCTCAGGAGGCCCTAACTTCCCTGTCTACGCTCTCTCGGCCTGAATCCTACCTCGTTCAGTCACTCCCTTGGGACCCTCCGTCTTAAGCTTTATTCTTACAGCTGAGCCTAGAAGGGGCGGGGAAGATGCACGAGAGACTCGAGGACCAAAGAAATCGCGTGTTTTCTGTGTGTTGAATTCAGTTCTCCCCAGTTGCCGGCAAAGGGGACCCACTGGAGAGCGTCCATATTAGCACAGAAGGCCCAGAAGAAACGGCACAGAGCTCTTGGCCTGGGTTAACTGACCGGGACCTGCTGGAGGGAACGTGCTCATTCTACAAACAGCCATCAGTGCCCCCTCGAGCCTGGTCACGTGGGAGGGAGCGACAGCACACACAGGGACACAGTCCCTGCCTTCCCGGAGCTGCGTGCTACTGGAGGCATGGCTCGAAGAACAATGTGATGAGCGTAATCAAGGCGACGTACGGAATGCCACCCACCGAGCACAGAAAGAGGGAATCGGAGCAGATCTCGAAGAAGGAAGAGTCACCGAAAACCAACACGACAGTGGCTTCAACAAGGTAGGAGTTTATTTCTCTAGCATCTAACAGAAGTCGGAAGGTAACAGTTCAAAGCTGACGTGGCAGGTGAATGGTGACATCAGGGACCCAGGGCTCTCTTCCTCTCTTCCTTCCTTCCTTCTTTCCTTCCTTCCTTCCTTTACCTCCTTCCTTCCTTCCCTTCTCTCTCTCTTTCTTTCTTTCTTTCATTCATTCATTCATTCTTTCTTTCCTTCTTCTTTCTTCCTTTCTTTCCTTTCTCTTTCTTTCTTTCCTTCTTTTTCTTTCTTTCCTTTCAAGTCTCATGGTTGCTTCACGGTTCAAACTGGTTGCTGGAGCTCCAGCCATCACATTCTAGCTGTAGCCCCCCCACAGAAGGAGGAAAGATGGCAGAGAGCCAAACCAGGCTTCTCCCAGCTGGGCCAGCCCCCTTTCAGCAGTCTTTCGGAGAGTCCCACCCATCGGTTCTGCTTTTATTTCACTGGCCAGGGCACCACCACCTTATGACCACATCTGGGCTGCACGGGAAGCTGGGCAATGCAGTTGTTGAAGCCAGACGGCCACGCGCTCGGCTAAAAAGCGGGGCTCCTGCCACGGGAGCCCAACTGTTTGAAAGCGTCTGTGTTTGAGGGAAGACAATTTCAGTTCAAGCCCCATCTGTGTTACTCGCTTGCTGTGTGAGCTTAGGTCACGCACTTAACCTCTCTGAGCTCACACAGTCTGCCCGCCAGCGGAATGGCCTGATAGACCGTGCTTCGCAGTGGTGCTGGAATCTTAACCGAGGAATGCAGTCTGCATATCATTGCGTTGCTGAGTATGCTTGAGAAGAACCACTGAATCGAAATGAGCCTGAGTCCTTGGGGAAGTGGTGTTTCACAAAGGGAGAGCAGGATTGTAGGTCCAGCAGGCGCGAATAACAGCTCATTGCAAGCTTCCCGTGTAGCGGGAAACATTACTGACTCCCGGGTCCATCACTCCGACTTTGCTATCTCATGATTCGTCCTTCACGGAGGCCAAGTTTGATGTAACAGACAAAGGAGCTTGCTCGCTCAAGGCTGTTCGAGCCGGTAAATGGTACCGGTCCGGCGAGTGATGGCAGATGGGGCCGAGGGGAAAAAGGCATGGCACGCCCCCGGGACCTTGTGAGCAGAGCCAGGGGTCTGAAAGAGTGTGGCACGGTGGGGCACCAGGGAAAAACATCTGGATAGAGCAGGTAGTTCCGACAGGAAAGAGTAGGCCCCAAACACAGAACGGAAAGCCTCGAATTCGGCGGCAAGATAACGGAGACTTCACTCCCGTGGTAGCAAGGAGCCATCGAAGGTTGTGGAGCAGGAGAGGGACACAGGGCAGGAAGATCTGGAGGAGGACTGGGCGGGGGGGGGGAAGCTTTGTCTGGGCAAAATGGATTCTCCAAGTTATTACTGGACCCCTGGAACGGATGAGAAAACCGAGGCTCAGAGAAATGTCTTTGTTTGCCCAAGTCAGAGTAAAAAGGAAAAGCTGCAAGTTAAGTGGGAATGTCTTGAGACATTGGTGTGGGGAAAGCCCTACACAGGTAAAGGACGGTCAAGCCACGGTGGCAGCCACAGGCCCTTCTCCAGGGCTGGGGGCTGGCTTCCCCGTTTGGTTCTTTCCCCAACCCGCCTCTACCTTCCCCGAGAAGGCCCTCTCAGTGATCCCTGACCCTCCTGGCCTCTCCCCGCCCCCCCCCCCCGGGGGGGTGGGAGGGGGACAGAGAGATGCCCCCATCCGCCACCCTGGAGAAGCAGGGATGTGGAAACCCAGAGGCGGTATTTCTAACAGGTAATTGCTCCCTTATTTAAACAACAGCCACTGAAACAGCTCATTCAAGAGACAAAGGCAGTCATTACCTGGATTTTTATCGGGGAAATCTGAGACAACTACCAGGGGTCACGTTTCTAGCTAACAGCCCGAGAAGCCCCGGGGCAGAGCCTGACCACGAGGCCACAGACCGGCTCGGCAGCAACCTTTCCTCCCGTCTTCAGGGGTTCACCGGACTTGGGGGGTGATCGGGGTCAAAGTTCCTGAGCAGCTACTGCAGAAGTTATGCATTAGTGGGTGCTCGTCATGTCTTGGAGGTTGCACAACGGCCCAGGAAGATGGTCACGGAACAGCCCCATTTTACAGAGGAAGAAAGCGAGGCTCAGAGAGGCCGCTGGCACAGAGTTATTAGGCTGGCAGGTGGCGGTGCTGGGACTCGAGTGCAGATTCTTTGCCCCATTGTCTCTCAACACAAAGTCTTTGGCTCCCAAGGTGTCTGCCCCAAAGCCCGGCCAAAGGGACCCCCAATAAACCCTCAGTGGTTGGGGATCCCAGCCCTCAGTGATCCCGGGCTGGTCCCCAGACGCCCCGGGGAGGCCCTGTGATCCATATGCTAGTTCGGTCGCCCAGACACGTGACTGTCCCAGCAGAAGGAAGCCAGTCCGATGGGTCTGCAAGTTATAGCTCATGGGCCAGATCCACCCCATTGCCTGTTTGTATTATGGTTCATGAGCTAGAAGAGGTTTTTACCTTTTTCAATGGCTGCAATCAATAAAAGGAGGAGGTTTCACGCTACGTGAAAACTCTCTGAAATCCCAAGTTTTTAAAAGCATCCACGCATTAAGGTTTGTTCGAATACAACCACGCTCATTGTTTCCATATCAGAGGTAAGTGTGCGTGACACACAGAGGTAAGTGTGGCTTGCAAAGCCTAAAACCTTTATTGTCTGACCCTTCAAGGAAACGTCTGCCCTGCTGTGGTTTAGATCATGAAGGTTTAACCCGTGGCCATCACCTTGACACGTTCAAAGACGCGCCATGTTGGGAAAAGCCTCCCTTCCTGGAAAAGGAGGAGAGGGAGAAATACACAAACACTCATAGGCTCACGCCCTTTAGAGGCGCTTAGGGACACAAGGACGAGCAGGTACACGTGCACGGAGAAATGCAAACCTTCAGGGAGAAAGCCAGAAACACAGACACTCAGAGAAATATCCAAGTGCATTCAGAGCCTCGGAACCATCCAGGAGTGCACAGACACTAAAGCATATAGTTAAGCACATGCACACACACTCATGTACACACACACACACACACACACACACACACACAGGGAACAAATACCTCCACACATACAGACATACACAGACCCCCAGGGACCCAAAGAGAACATGCCAGCTACTAGGTGCACGGCTATCTATCATGCTACGAAACAAGGAGATACATATACAGCCTCCCGGGCAGAGATAGACACACAGGAGTCCCCAGCTGTTCGGCTGTCACAGACTCAGAGGCAAAGAAAGCCAGAGCCATCTGTGCACGGTGACAAAAACACTCAGAGACAGAGGAGAGACAGAGAGACGCAGAGGGGCTGGGGTCTGTGTTCTTCGCCCCCGTGCTATGTTAACCGTCCTTTGTTGTGTACGGACATTAATGGGAGCCCCAGAACTGGGGTTTCCTGTGGCGTGAGTGGAGGGGCCATTCTTTGGATCCAGGGCTTGGAGTGTCGCTACAAAGAACAAGCGGATTAAATAGACTTCACACCTCGCCAGCCACCATTCTGCCCGCGGGTTCTCTGACTGCCCCGTAACACCCGCCTAGTCTGAATCATCCCTCTTCACATAGATCTCCCCTGACCCACCGGGGAAAATCAAATCTTCATCTTTGGAAATACCCATCCCACGCATGGCCTTGGATCATTCCCGCCGACCCGGGCCCAAAGCTGGAGAGGCAGGAGGATAGAGACCTAGAAACCCATGGGTAAATACCACTGTTGAGCACGAGCACCGTGCCGGGCGTTGGGCTCAGGGCTTTCTGGCAAGCAAGGGGAAAAACACCGTCACCCCATGTCACATCGTCACCCCATGTCACACCGTCACCCCATATCACAGGTGAGAAAGCTCATCACCCAGCTAACAAGCTCCAAAGCAGAGATTCAAACCTAGTTCTGGCTGGCCCCAGAGCCCATCACCCCAAATCCTCTCCTCGGCTTGTTTCGTCCTCTCCGTGAGCTTGGCATTCCGTTGAATTGATCTCAGGAACCCCAAACAGTGCCTGGCCACCAAACTACAGGAAAATAAAGCCCTCCCGTTAGGTCTTACCACGCGATGTTTATCAACGGCCAACAAAGAGATGACGGGTAGGCTTTCAAATGCTCATTGTGCCACTGGGTAAACTGAGGCTCTGGGAGGTCAAGGTGAGCTGCAGAACCGGTATTCCAAGCCAGCTCTCTCTCATCCACGGAGCCTGCTGCCTCAGTACTTACGCACATGGCCTGGGACATTCAGAGTCAGAAGAGAGGTCCTGTTTGTTCCTTTGCTTTTCTCTGGTTCTCTTTTACAGAAATTCTCTCACTGGGGAGAAGGAGAGAAAAGCCAACAGGATATGCCTAAGAGTCACCTGTCAGCTTCCCCCGTCCACAAGCAACATGGTTACACAGAAGAGACCCTGCTGCCTGTCCCCTTCCCCTGTCCCCCTGGGGACCGGGCTACATGACAGGGCCAGTGGAGATGTCCTGGGGGGCGGGGCACCTGTTGCTGCCTGCCTAGTGGGAGCCCGATCTCAGAGGCATGTTGGAAGGAAGTCTCCCAGGCAGGAGGGCGTGCCCCAAGGAGCCAGGCAGTGTTGGGAAGGGCAGCCGCGAGGATGTCTTTTTCTCCTCCTTGCTCCGCAGGAAGCCTAGCATCTCTGGCTTGGTCTCCTTCTTTTGACCAGCTGGGCCACCCCGTGGGGGTCAAGGTGGCACAAATCCTGGCCATCGGAAGGCATCTGACCTCAAGTCTTTCCTCGAGGGAGGACAGGTGACCTGGGGGCCGACGGGGCATCAGGGGGCTTGTTTGTTTCTGTAGGGGCTCAATGGGCCCTCCTGCCCCTCCCTGCTGGGACAGGAACGATGGAGGGCCCGGGCACCGAACACCTGCTCCACGGCACACAGATGGGTCCTTACGACGTGCAACAGCCAGCTGATGCCTGGAGAGGTTCCAGCCCCTGACTGAGGTCATTCGAGGAATAAGAAACAGAGCTGGCCTAACAAGGCCCAGAGGAATTGCTGAGTGAACCAAAGAGATAGAGGGACGAGT